CATCACCACCATCCAATCCCATAACACTTTTCACCTTATGAAACTGAAACTCTTTACCCATTAGACAATAACTCCCTATTTCCCCCTCCCCCAGCCTGCGCAACTACCATTATGCCTTCTGTCTTTGTGATTTTAACTACTCTGAGTAACTCATATAAGTGGAATAACAGTTTGTGTCTTTTTGTGATTGGGTTATTTCACTTAACATAACGTCCTCAAGGCTCATCCATGTTGTAGCGTATTGCAGAATTTCCTTCCTCCTTTTTTGGTTAACATACGGTGTTATATTAGTTTCAGGTGTACAATATAGTGATTTAGCAATTCCTTACATCACCCAGTGCTCATCAAAAGCGCGCTCTTTAATCTGCATCACCTGTTTAACCCACCCCACCCCCACCCCCCGACCCCACCGCTCTGGTAACCATCAGTTTATTCTCTATAGTTAAGAGTCTGTTCCTTGGTTTGTCTCTTTCTCTTTTTTTAATCTTTGCTCATCTGTTCTGTTTTTTAAATTCCACATATGAGAGATCATATGGTATTTTTTTTTTTTTAAAGATTTTGTTTATTTGACAGAGAGAGACACAGCGAGAGAGGGAACACAAGCAGGGGGAAGGGGAGAGGGAGAAGCAGGCTTCCCGCCAAGCAGGGAGCCTGATGCGGGGCTCAATCCCAGGACCCTGGGATCATGACCTGAGCCCAAGGCAGACGCTTAACAACTGAGCCACCCAGGTGCCCCGCTATTTGTCTTTCTCGATTGACTTATTTCGTTTAGAATTTCCTTTCTCTTTAAGGCTGAATAATATTCCATTGTATGTATACACATTTTACTATCCATTCATCCATCCATGGACACTTGAGTTGCTTCCATGTTTTAGCTATTGTGAATAATGCTTTTATGAACATGGGTGTGCAAGCATCTCTTTGAGACTGTACTTAAGATTCTTTTGGTATATACATAGACACCTATTTATTTTTTATACTGGCTCCAAATAGCTTAAGTAATTTAAATAACCAGACTGTTAAATAGACTGCTCATTCAACATGGGCAAATTCATTCTTCTTTCATTGGAAAATATTTATTGAGAGCTTTCTTTGTGTCAGGAATGGGCTAGATCCTGGGGGTACAAATTCATTCTTCTTTCATTGGAAAATATTTATTGAGAGCTTTCTTTGTGTCAGGAATGGGCTAGATCCTGGGGGTAAAAATAACTTGGAAATACAGATGATAAGAGCATTTTCTTTGATTTAGGAAAAAAACCCCACCAGTTAAATATATTGACCAATGTCCATCCCTGTAATAAAAGGTGAAGATGATTAGAGAATTCACAAAGTGTTCTGTCTTACCTTTATTTTCACTCCTGTTCTGTGGTAAAGACTCAAGTATTTTCTTGTGGAGATGATGTGCTTTTTCATTATTCCATGACGGAGTTCCAAGGAGTCAGGCTTACATTTAAAGGACGGCATGTAAACACTTTCTAAATAATTCAAGTACTGTATCAATTGAGTAAAGGTCAAGAGCTGGTTTAAAATTCCTTCTGTAGGGCCACCTGGGTGGTACAGTTGGTTAAGCGTCCGACTCTTGGTTTTGGCTCAGGGTCGTGATCTCAGGGTCATGATCTCAGGGTCTTTGTGCTCAGAGCAAAGTCTGCTTAAGACTCTCTCTCCCTCTCCCTCTGCCACTCCCCCCTGCTCTCTCTCTAAAATAAATAATTCTTTAAAAAAAATAAAACTCCTTCTGTAATACTCACTATGAATTGGGATAGGGAAAAGAGGGAAGGAAGGAGTAACATGGGGACAAGAATTCCAGACCAATTCATCCATAGTTCAGTGATCAAAAATGTCACCTGTCTTGTTTCATTTCCAGCTTTTGTTACTATCTTATTTGTTCACTTACAGATTTTCACTGGATGCCCAAACGAAAGGAAAATTTGGCGTAGGATCTAACCACAGACATGTGGACTGTATCTTTTAGTTCCAAAATGATGCTTTCTATAACAGTACACAGTGGAAAAACAAAGAGTGTCGGGGAACGCACAGAGATCCACAAAGCTGTGCAAGGCCTTACTGGCAGGTGCAATGCTTTCTCAGAGGTCCTGAAAGTCTCCTTTGAGTTACCTTTGCACGTCTCAGCTCACGTCATCTTCACAGTGATACAAGACTGTTGATGCCTGTGGCCAAATGAAGGCTTAGCTTATTCATCCAATTCTCCACCAAAAGGAAGAAATGGTCAGAGAAAGCCAAAGGGTAACCAGGAACCTCAAATTTTGCCCGAACTTTTCATAAGATTGAGAGGCAGGGCCACTTGGGTCTTTCACAAGAGGGATTCTTCTCTGGATTAGAACTGTGATAGTTCCCAACCTTCTAGGGCAACTATTAGGAAAATGGAGGAGGATGGCTGTGAGTCTTTGTGGCTCCAGGAGCCATCTTATCCTTCAAGTCTTCATCAGTTGTGATTTCTTCCATGAAGTCTTCCATAATTTTTTTTTTTTTAAATTTTATTTATTTATTTGACAGAGAGAGACACAGCGAGAGAGGGAACACAAGCAGGGGGAGTGGGAGAGGGAGAAGCAGGCTTCCCGCCGAGCAGGGAGCCCGATGTGGGGCTCGATCCCAGGACCCTGGGATCATGACCTGAGCCGAAGGCAGACGCTTAACGACTGAGCCACCCAGGCGCCCCAAGTCTTCCATAATTTTCTAACCTGGAGTAATTTCTCTTTCACTGCAACGATGTCCTCTCCTCTGCCACTAAGTATTGTATTTCTTATGTTATATACATGTCTGGGCTTTATAACTAAGCCTCTGGGAGGCAGGATCCCCACTAGATTCACCTGTGTATACCCAACTGCACTTATGGTGCCCAGCCCAGTCTTTCAAAAAAAGATTAATGAATAAGTAGGTAAATTTGACTGAAGAAGACCTGAGATCCTGTAAGTAAGTAGAAGGTATAGGTCATTAGCTGCAGAGAAAATAGGGTTTCCTGTGTTCCTGGCAGGGAGGGAGATTAGGAAAAGCTGGGGACAAAGCTGGGATGGAATCCACTGACTGTGGCATTTCAAGAGCATACATAATGAGTACACCGATGTTGGGGTGCAGCTTTTCAAACCATTACCCATGCAACTATTTGTTCCATATTTCATTAAGATGGCTAGCATGCTAAAATGTTATCTTGGCATAAACAGAATACTTTTTCTATGAAGGGCATTCTTTTATGTTATTTTGCTGAAAAATCAAAGAAGGCAGGTCCACTCTTAGCATCTTCATTTTATAGGTGAGGATGCTGAAGTGAAGGTTAAATGACTTAATGTTCTTATTCCATTTCCCTAAGAATGTAGTCAGAAATGAAAACCCAACTTATATTACGAGCACTCATTATTCTGTATGAAGTCAACATTTCAATAAACACCAAGGTCTCATGTAAGTCCAAGTTGTTATCATTAGTCAAGTGACATTAAAAGGATTGTTGTGTTTTACAGACTCATTATATTAGGATATTAAAAAGGGCCAGCAGGCATCACCTAGCTTGAGTATGGTGATATATTTGATAGTATTCTCTGAAGTCTTTCTCATTAAATTTGATTTGGCTTGTGTGGTAATATTGTAGTCTTCAACAGGAATGTAGGCAAATGAAGTTAATAATACATTAAAATGAATCATACTGGAAATCAGGAAGGAGGGGAATAGTTACTGAGTTCCTGCAGGGACTAAAGTTTAGTTAATTAAAAAAATAACTTGATTCTCCATCTCTGTGAAAAATTTAGCTTTAAAATACAAATCAACTGTAATTTAAACTTCTGTATTTGGGCTACTTGCCACAAAGGAACACGGGTATTAAATATAATTAACATAGATCACAATATTTTTACTAGTTATAGGTAAGGAGCATCAGGCATACTGGTAAAAAATGCCTACTCCAGGTTCTCTGGAGAATAACTAGTGGCCCAAATGACAACCCATATTCTTGTAAAATATACTTTCCAAAAGAGTGAGAGTCCTTTTACTGTTTACAAGTTATGCAAAGAATGAAATACAAAATATTTCCCTTTTTTAGTCACTAAAAATGTGTGTATCTATATTAAGGATCACATAAACCTGAGTTTATGCTGGGCACTTTTACTTACACCTAAAAAAGAAGAGAGAAGATAAGATAAGAAAAGAAAAGACCATTAGCACCTATTTAGAATGTGAACCATGTTTATATGAAAACAAGTATTTTGTCATCAGTCTATTTTCCATACCTTTTGCAACTGGAATCTTTATATTTAAAAAATTTTTATTTATTTTTTTAAAAGATTTTATTTATTTATTTGACAGAGAGAGAGAGGGAGAACATAAGCAGGGGGAGCAGGAGAGGGAGAAGCAGATTCCCCACTGAGCAAGGAGCCCAATGTGGGGCTCGATACCAGGACCCCGGGATCATGACCTGAGTTGAAGGCAGATGCTTAACTGACTGAGCCAAGCGCCCCCATTTTTAAAAATTTTTAACAGGAATTAGAATTTTAGTAGTTCCAGAAATATAGCAAAGATGGCTTTAAGCTGTCCTATATATTGGTAATCTTCTCCTAAAAACTTTTCAGGTTTATCTTGTATTCCAAGGCACAGTCTTCATAGAGACCAAATTAGAGTGAGAACAGACAACAGAACAAAAGAGAAGGGAAATATTCACGTCAGCTGTTGAAAACTAGTTTTGTAAGGCAAGGCCTAGAAATCTTTATCTCTGGCATGTTTAGTATGGAATGCATACTTGATTTTCATTCAGCTACTAGAGAAAGGTATTCTATAATGACAGATAGCTTTATCAAAATTACAATTAGCTGGCTTCCTCTGTAGGGAATAGCAGTTGGGTAAGTAAGACTGAAGTGAGAGCTCTTACCAGCTTTCTCAGAAATGATTTCTCCATCATGGGTATTTGGTCAACTGATGAGGTCTACCATGAACATATGGTTTCTAGAGGAATGAGCTGGAATCTGCTAATATTTTTAAAAGGAACACTTAGTAAATGCTGATCTCTAAGCAATAAATAGTCAATTTATTTAATTTTCAAGAAACGTTTTTCAAAAAATATTTTTTTCCTCTAGGATTAACATGCTCATTCTACTTAGATTGTTTACAGTGCTTTTTATTCTGCCTAAATTTTTATAATAAGGTGAAATAAAAGATTCAAAAATGGTTTCATAGTACATGGAAGATGAAATCTCACATGGATAGCATATAGTTTGATTCTTACATATGCATGATTAATCAAAATTGTATCCTTAAATGACGACTTGGTATTTTTCCAATTTTACTCAAACACTACTGTGTACCATTTATTTTACCACTGATATTTTTAGGATTAACTTTATTAACAATATGATATTTTCATGCATTGTTAAATTTTACACTAGTTTTAATATTCACAATGTTTGATTAAGTTCAAATCAACAAATATTCAAGCCTACATGAGAAATGAATGAAATATTACCTTTTCACATAATCAGCTAACTGCTTTTTAAGAGTAAAAAGTTAATATTGGGATTTAAAAACCTAAATTTCCAATGTTACTGTTAATTCAACCATATATATATTACTTAGGCCACAGGACTGCCCATTAACCTTTCTTGTCGGAGAGCAATTAATCTCTTGAACCACTTTTCCTCAGCATCAGCTTTCTCAATAAATAACTGAAATATGAAAAAGAAAAAAGAAAAATGTTATTGTTTGCCAATAACTTGGATTTGACCTTATGTAACATAAATTACCTTTACAGAATACATCTTTTAGCACAAGATTTGGATACTGTTAACTTTTGGTGACTTCTCAACTGAAGATAATCTATTTGGAATTAATAATGTTCAGAAAGTCTTGGAGAAAAAGAGTAATGGCAACATTTTTTGTTAACAATCTTACGCCGTGTTTTGTGAAGTTTATTTCCTACACTTTTTCTCAGAGACACAGTGGAATGACACGACTTCAGAGTAGATAGCAAAATACGATGTCTGTGACAGGCTCAGTTCAATGAAGCAATGAAAGCTGAGGCAGATTTAGATCTTTTAGTGCCAGATTTAAAAAAACAAACCAACCAACCTCTTCTTTTTGCCTATTTTTGTTAAGCATAGGAAGACTACTTCTAGAAGTCAGACAACACGATTTGGATCATACCAGATTCAAATCCATGTCACTGCTCTGAGGGACGGGGGTCAGCTGCCTATTTCTAGCAAATAGTAATATATGAATCCATTTCCTCCAACAGTCTTTTTGTCACCAGCACAAAATGACAATAGTTTGAATTCATTTCAGTCAACTAGACTTCAGTGGACATTCTGCAGATCTAAGGATCTTACATTTGGATGGGCCAGAGAGTTGTCATCTTGGTACTTGATGGCAGTGGGGATGCTGCTGGGGTCTATTTCTTTTTCACTACTGGGAGGGTCAGGAACTACTGTTGCTGGTCCCGATGTCGCAGCTGCGTGCTTCACCTCACCAGGCTCCACGGACTGAAACATGATACATACATGTTTTATTAATTAGATCACAATACACAATTAAAATTCTGCCTTAACAATATTTTTTATTTGGAATAGTAATTGTTCATTTAGTCTCCTTTGAGATAATACTAATCATAAAAAGACCCTGGGTGATTGAGTAAGAAACAATTCTGAAAGTAAGCAAAAAAATACAAAAACATGGAGAAAATGTTGATTTTTTTTTATGATCAGCATATTTTTCTTGAGAAATTGGGACTTAGGTGTCTATACTACAGAAAAACATTTCATAAATCTAAATTCTATTAGTCAAAACAAGCAACAAATCTCCAGCATTCATTTGGTCTCTTTAGAGATGAAAAGCAAATTCAAAGGTTATTTTGTTTTTGCTTTTTATTTATTTATTTTTATTATTGTTATTTTTAAATATTTATTTGAGAGAGAGAGAGTATGAGAGAGAGAGCACAAGCAGGGGAGAGGGGTAGAGGGAGAGGGAGAAGCAGACTCCCCGCTGAGCAGGGAGCCCGAGGTAGGGCTCGATCCCAGGACCCCGGGATCACGACCTGAGCTGAAGGCAGACACTTAACCGACTGAGCCACCAAGGCGCCCTGTTTTTGCTGTTTAAATAACAGCCTCAATGAAATATGATTCACATATCACAATTCATATAGCTTTTAGCATATCCACAGAGTTTTGCGACCTCAGAACATTTTCATCCTCCTCCTACAAAACCCCAGACCCATTAGCAGTCACTGCTCCCCATTTCTCCCAGCCTCCCCATCCCTATGCAACCACTCATCTATTTTGTCACTGTGGATTTGCTTATTCTGGACACTTCATACAAAAGATCATACATTATGTAGTTTCTTGTTGTTGTGGGTTTGTTTTGTTTTCTGTGACTGGCTTCTTTCATTGAGCATGCTTTCAAGGTTCTTCCATGAAAGGCTGAAGCATGTATCAGTATGTCACTCCATCTTATTGCTGAGTGATCATATTCCATCACGGAATACTCAGCGCCAGGCGCTGGGCTCAGGGCTGCGGACACAAGGACTGCTAAATCGTTGCTGCCGCCTGGAAGAAGCCAGTCGTGCTGTGCTCTCTTGGGTTAATTCCCATACTTCCCTGTCTGGGAAAGGAAAAGGCCAGGGAGGTGGCTAATCAGCAGCAAGGCTGCAGGGGTAACATGAAATGGACTAGATGAGAAGCTGAAATCGGAAATTAAAATAAAAAAACCCAAGATGACTGGGAGATTAATTCCACCATTCGGCCTTTTTTCTACACCTACTGGTTCTGTATGTGTACTTTTTGAACCTCCATTTTCTTTTAATGTAGCTACTTCTGAACATCTACTTCTCTGAGTGAAGGGTAAAACAGATGTCACTGGGAAAAACATCTAGAAAATGAAATCTACACAAATTAGTTAATCCTTTCTTGGAATGATTTATCTTAGAACTGGATATCCATCTTCAGTATTTATTGAGTGCTACTAACTGCTAAGTACTGGGTACACAAGGGAGAGTAGAATAGGTATGTTCCCGGTACCAAGTGGAGATTACATTTTGCTAATGGAACTGACAGATAACCTTACAAATAGATATCAAAATAAAGATATAATCACGCATTGTAACAAGGGACACAGAGATACTTAAAGAAACAACTGTTAAATCTGGCAGTTTTCTTCTTGTATTTTGAAGCCAATACTCCACCCACCTCCACCCCCAGGCGTCAAACCTTTCTATGTTTCCAACATACTAGGCCTAGAAGGCCTACAGCCCTGTGTTATGATATTATACTGACCCTTTATAAAACGGAGGACGTAGATCAGTAAAGCCCAACATTCCGCATAGGGGAAGGTGGGAAGTATGCCAGTCTAATGAGGCCCAGACATCATTTTTTGGTGGTCTATGCTGCATGCAGAGAACAGAAGAGCACGTCATTCCGCCTGTCTGAGCCGTTCCTCGATAGGGTGCAGCTAGGAGACTGGCAGTATTGAAGAACTGTGGAGTGTTGTTATTCTAGTTGCCAAAGATGTGGATCGCACATATTCAGGAGGCAGAGATAACATTCTATTATAAAAATGACCTGGTCTTGTTCTGTTTATACCTACAGTACATTAACATTTTCTTGGAGAAGTACTTATGTACATTTCAGGTAAAGTTTTCAGAGATTAGGATCAGAGCATGGAAGTTATTATTTAAATGGATAATTAAAAAATATATGACAGGAATCATAAATTGCTTCTTTATTTAAGTGAGGAAAACTGTTGGAGAAATTTTGACTATAAAAAAACCCAAAACATGGCCACTATCAAGTATCTGGCTTTGAGTAACACTGCCACCTGGTGGTTCAGTTTGGAAAACTTGTTTTAAAATGTACTTCCAAGTAAAAGAGTAAGTTAGACCCTGCTGCTTAGGGTTATTTATCCTCTTTCTGAACATAGGTGGATATCTGCCAGCTACAACAATTTTAGGGTTGAATAACTGGCAATAAGCTTACTTGGGACAGAAGTTTGGAAACAAACTGCATCTTGGTTCCTGAAGATGATATAGCAGGAACTATCAATTATCTACTCACACAAGAGAGAGATGATTGCAGAGAGTTAACCTGTTAAATCGATATGTGTTGACGGAGACACAATGTCTAGCATGTTACTGGTAATAGCCACTTTCTAGTAACAGCTCCTTAGCTTAATTAGTGGAATTCACACAGCTGAAGAAAGACTCTATCAACTGAAGGGGTGGTTAGTATAGAGAAGCCTTTTTCAGAGATACAAAATGTATGCCAATGTGTGTAGAACTGTCCAGAAGAGAAAGATGTTGAAACCTGGGTCATGAGTAATTTAGTCCTCAAGAGAATTAGTCTTTGGTGTGCATCAGGGATAGCCTCTATCTCCCCATGATCTGGATGAAATGGTCCTCAAGATAATTTACCTCCCTTTGCTAAGTAATCTCCTGATAAATAATTCAGCTTCTTGGGCATCCTGAATCGCTACCTTATATTGCAGACACAGACATTTTAGAAACTGGAAAGGGATACCGTTTTCTAAACTAATAAATTGGCCCTCTGCTTTATATTACAGTTGAGTGTAAATTTATTCACTGTTGGCCCATCCCTGCTTTTCTGATCATTTTGAAATGCAGTGACTAATAAAAGTCCAGTGTTAGATGGCTAATACTTTAGACTGTTGTACATTCACCAAGGTAAATGCCATCTTCTTCTTTTTTTTTTTTTAGCATACTCCCCCGTTAGTGAATGCTTTCTTTATACTTCAATAGGGAACGTGCACTGAGTTCACAATTATGAGAGACACTGGATGAGTAAAAACAAACAAGGGCTCCGGAGTTGAATAAATTTTGTGTGGATGCTCTTTCTTGCCATTTATTAGCACTTTGACCATGGGTAATAAAATTTGCTGAGCCTTAGCTTGTTTAGTTTTAAATAAAGGTTACTGGGATTTTAGATAACTTACATACGCTAAATGTCTAGTATTAATGGTAGCCATTATTATTTTAGTCACTTTAAGTTATTTAAATATAAAAAACAAAATGGGGCTATGTTACAACATTGTTTTACATCATTTGCTTGTGCTTTAATGTTTCCAAATGCTGGGTTGAAACAAATTGGCCCAAAGCTGATGTCTGTACACTAAACCAGTAAGCTACTATATAAAGCTGTAAAGTAAGTTTTTAATTATTTGCTTAGGAATACAATAGGCCACCAAGCCTCCAGTGAGAATTGTAGGGTCTATAAACCATAAAAAATTACATAAAACAAGCTGTGACCCAGCCAAAATGAGAATCCTTGCATCTCCAATTCCTTTTAAGGAAGCCAGAGACAAATGCAGCCCTCAGCATTCAGGAAGAGGAAGAATAGTAACAGCTTTTATTTCCTGAGTGTCAGGTGCTTGGCTAACTATTTTATGTAAAGTATCTTGCTCATCCTTATAAAAACTTCTGCCAGGGGTATTACCTCCCCTTTAAGATAAGAGAGCCATGGGGTTATCTTGTGGTTTAAGGACACAGAGCCAGTAAATGGCAGAATCAGACCTGACACTGCATCTGTCTGACCCTACATCTCATGCTTTTGACCACTGCTTCCCAACTGCCAAACCTAAGATTTATTGTTACTTGGTTTTAATTTTAGAGGAAAGAAATAAAAATGTTAGTAAAATATTTTAATTACATACATTTTTAAGTGGCTCAACTCACAGTGCTGGATTAATATTTCTAGGTTGCTTTTGCTTCTCCCTCATACTCATCCAATCTAGAACTAGCCAGCTCAAGGCCTTCCAGAATTGATTTTATTTCTTTGTGTGAATTATTGTTAAGGGCCACCTCTTTTAAAAGACAGTTGAAACAGTAGATGGCTTTTTCTTACACAGATTCATGAACATTCCTTATGAAATTGAGAGGCCCCTATTTCATCTTTTTTTAAAAAAAGATTTATTTATTTGAGAGAGCGAGAGCATGTGTTGTGGGGGAGGGGCAGAGGGAAAGGGAGAGAGAGAATCTTAAGCAGACTCCCCACTGAGTGTAGAGCCTCACATGGGGCTCAATCTCACAACCCTGAGATCACGATCTGAACTGAAATCAAGAGTCAGATGCTTAACCAACCGAGCCCCCCAGGTGCCCCTAGAGGCCCCTATTTCATCTTAATCCTCTCTATCCCTGATGGTGGCATCTGAATTAGAAGTGCAAGAAAAGCCATATTGAAGGTGAGTGAACATTCCAACTCGGCACTGAACACTAAAACAACGGAAACTAGTTATTAAAATAATGAATAATGATGGTCCCTTTGATCAGAGATATAGGTGAAATTCCTTTATATTGGTCCCATGGAAAGCCATTTAACTACACAGGCTTTTGTTAGAGAGTTAGGAAGACTTTTTTCTCTTGGATTTAGTTCGTTAGCTTAAGATCGATAACCCTCAGAGGTTAAGGGGAAATAATCTTTTAAAACTTTTCTAGGGGATACAATGAGGTGAAAACATTACTAATTCTGGAATTGAAATATACAGATATTTTACATTTATACCTTTCAAAAGACTTTAAAGGTAAAACCAGATCTAAAGATTTTCTGTTTTCTCAGGAAGAGGTTTGCCTTACTGGTGAGCATGGAAACTTGGGGAATATTAAAAAAATGTAAATGGGGTAAGGTGTTATACTTAAGACAGACTCAGCACCGGGGCGCCTGGGTGGCTCAGTCGTTAAGCGTCTGCCTTCAGCTCGGGTCATGATCCCAGGGTCCTGGGATGAAGCCCTGCATCGGGCTCCCTGCTCAGCGGGAAGCCTGCTTCTCCCTCTCCCACTCCCCCTGCTTGTGTTTCCTCTCTCGCTGTGTCTCTCTCTGTCAAATAAATAAATCTTAAGAAAAAAAAAAAGACTGAGCACCTACAGTAGAAGTTTTTAAGCACTATGCTTAGTTTACAGAATGTACTTAGATATAGAATAATTTAGGTGCTAGAGTATGTTATTTAAAAATAAGCATTTATGGGATCAAGAACCATGTTAGATATTTGATACTCATTATATTTACTCCTCAACAACTCCAAAAAGTAGGTATCATTGGTTCTATTTTATGGATTTGGAAACTGAGGGATGAAGAAGTTGAGAAGCTTGCTAAAGACCATAAATCACGGCAGGAAGTGTGAGAGTTAAGATTCAAACTCAGATCTCTTTGAGTCCAAAGCCCCATCCTCTTTCCTCTTTATCAGGTACACTTCTGATCAATTTCCTTGCTCATTGCTGGTTTTGCTAGTTATTGGAGGAGCTGCCAGTATTTTGGAGGAAAAACAATGGAATTAAAAATAAGTTTATTATTATTATTATTTTAAAATTTTTTAAAGGATTTTATTTATTTGAGAGAGAGATAATGAGCTGGGGGGAAGGGCAGAGGGAGAAGCTGACTTCCCACTGAACAGGGAGCCCAATGCAGGGCTCGATCCCAGGACCCTGGGACCATGACCTGAGCAGAAGGCAGAATGCTTAAACAACTGAGCCACCCAGGCGCCCAAAAGTAAGTTTATTATTAATAATTAGTATCAAAAGGGAAAAAGGTATGTAGAGGAAAACCTGGTGTATTTACTAGACAGGAAGAAGTATTTCCACAGAAAGAAAATGCTGTTTATCTTGAGTCCAGTAAGAGCTGGGAAGTCAGGGTGAACCTCAGAAAACAAGCATTAGGAAAGTAAATTTAAAAGTAAATTACCATTGTTTTAGGACATATGAATGACCTTTTAATATGTAAGATGTTCAAGAGTAAGATATTAAGTAAAATGAGCAACTATACTTATGGATGTCCATTTTACAGTTCCACCATTTTTTAGGAGTTGTGGTGGCAAACTTCTACAAAAAGTTCAAATGAAATCAGCAAGTGAAGGCAGGGACCACGGGTTAACCAGGGATGGCTGGTGCTGTTACACCCAAGCACCAGCACATGCTCAAGTCACTTCTCCAGGAAGATTTAAAAAGTATATGGTAACTGAAAAGGTGTTCATGTCACAAGCAACAAAAGAAATGCTAATAGGAAGACAAAAGGTCAACTTTTGCTTGACTACCTATCAGGTAAGTAAATGTGAAAAAGGACTTGGTGTTAACCAGGGTGTGAGAGGCAGACCTCTCCTTGGACTTGTGGGCAGAATCTGGACTGGGACGTTAGTGGAGGATGACTTTGGGAACATGTGTAGAAATAAATAATACTAACCTTCAGCAAGTAACTCCATCTTGAAAAATTGATCTTATGGGGATAATAATGGATATTTACAAACATGTATTAATACCTTCAAGCTTACAACTACTTAAATTATCTAGTGTCAGAGGAAAAAAATAAATGAATTATGATAAATTTGTCAGCAGGATGCTATACAGTCGTTAATATATTTACGGCTGTAGAATATTTTTGAATAGGTGGTAACAATACTGTGTCTTTATTACATGTATGTTATTAAAGAATACATGTATCTCACAGTAGAATGCCTTTTCTGACTAAAGGAACAGATTCCTAAAGGTGGTCCTGATAATAATTGAAAGAATACATGCAATATTCAACAGAAATAAAATGCCAATCAAAACTCCTTTTGCTGGAGTTTAGTAAGTGATACCAATCTGGGCAAAGAGTGCACACATGTTACTATTTGGGTAATAATCGGATTGTTAAAGCTCTCTTCTAACTTTTCTCTAGCAGTGTCAATTCAGAAAGTAGATAGAGACACTTGAAAAGAAAACTGTATGTTCATGAAATGCATATTACTGCTTTAGAACTGTTGACATTTTACTTTGTCTTCTCAGTGAATTTTAAAATAAAAAATGGCATCAGATATATTTTTACAAGTTAAACTTGAACTGCTTCTCACTGATTCATTCTCTCTCTCTCAATAACACACTGACACTCGCTCACCCTACTTCATCTACCTGTTAGAAGAAGCACTTACATTTAAGTAAAATCCATTAATAAAGCATTTCCTCAGTGGGATTCTAAAGGCTTATTCATAATGTCTGGATGAAAACTTACCTTTTTGACTTCTTTACTTGATCTGAATGTCTGCTGAACAAAAGAATCACTTTCAATGGCTTCAATTTCTTTTACTCTTTTTACTTGTTCAACCAGGGTGGCTTGGTCTAAAAAAAAAAAAAAGGGTATAATGTCAGTGTATTTTGGTGTGTAAGCTTGTTAACAACAGTATTCTAAGCAAGGTTCTTTCTTTCTATGAAGTAATTTTATGACTTCTGGAATTTAACTGGATGAAAAGATGTTATAGTTAAGCTCTAATAAAAAACTATTTTCCCCATGAGATCCACAAATACACATTCCTACACACCAAGTCTCTCACCTAAAACCTAATAAAACATTGCTGAGAAGGTACTGCTATAATGATCCAATCTAATCTGGGCTAATCTCATGGGAGGGCTTTAAAAATTAAAAAAAACCTTATTATGGAAATACATATAAAAGGAATTAACAGCACAATGAATCCACCTGCACCCATCACCTAGCTTCTATAGTCATGAACTCTGTTACTTATTTATTGATCCTCACTTCGTTTTTTTGGGTAGATCTGGAGTACTCAAAAGTACCTCCCAGACATCGTGCCATATCACCCCTAAATATTTAGTAGGCATTTCAGATAAGGACTTAAAAAAAACAAATAGTAATATAACTATACTACCATCTTCACATCCAACAATATTATCAACAATGCCTTAATATCATCTTATAGAGTCCATGTTTAATTTTCACTGATTGTCCAAAAAAAAATTTTTTACAGGTAGTTTGTTTGAAACAGGATCGAAACAAGGTCCACACATTAGACTTGGTTGATAAGTATCTTAAATCCCTTTTAATCACTGACAGTCTTCAGGCCCTCCCTTTCATTGCCATTTTTTTATTGAAGAGAATGGATCATTTACACTTGAAAATCTACATTCTAGATCTCGCTGATTTTATTCTTATGATGTCATTTAATATGTTCCTCTATTCCTCATATTTTGTGTAAACCAATAGTTAGGTCTAGAGGCTGGATAAGATTCAGGTTCAATTTCTTTTGGTCAAGGATACATGATAGGCGATGATGCATAATTCCCATTACACAGTATCGGGATATGCTTCTCCCAATTTTAAAGAAGTTAAGATTGATCAGTGGGTCCAAGGTGATGTCAGCCTGGCCCTATTATAAAGTTCTTCACCAACCATTCACTTAATGTTTTTGGCAGACATTAATGTTTGTTGATTAGATCCATTATTTCATGAGATGTTGTAAAATGGTGATTTTCCAATTCTATTATTCTCCCTGCATTTATTAGCTTTGATTCCTCTGTTGTGAAGAACTTCCCTTGCTGACTGTAAAGAATAGTCTGTACAGGAGAGGAAGAATAAATGTTTAATTTTCCCTTTACTTGTCAATTTTGATCCAAAGATGAGCATTATGAGTTCCTGAATATTTATATACTTAACATATTTTACCCCATGTAATCATTTTCATATTTTGTTGCTCAAATTATTCTGCCTTTGGGTAGTAGGGACCTCCTGAAGTTTGTCCTGCATCCTTTTGATATGATCCCTTATAATTAAGGGGTGACAAGAAGTTCCGGGCTCATCTTGTACAGTTCCTGCCCAAGACCTGAAATTAGCTATTTCTCCAAAAGGCTCGGACTGCTTTTAGTGGGGAATGATGTCTAAAAACAGTAACTTGGGCACCAGGGGTGTTCACTGTTCCTGGATTGTCACTGCTTCTCAGCTTTTTCACTGGGTGGGATAGGAAATGCATATTTTAAGAAAAAAAAAGTAATACCAGTTCATGCTGATACTATCAATCAAATTAAAGATTAGAGGAATTTTGAAGTCTCTGATTTTATATTTGTATTATCTTTTCTCTCATTTTAAAAATCTTAATGATATGACCAAAAGTACTTACTTGTTTCTCTTAATGAGTCGAGTATGCATTAGTTTCAAAATAAAAAGACTAATATCACTATTAATAAGGTGAATTAATACAGTTTAAAATTTCTTTATGGTTCTTTTTATCTCAGGAATTATTCCACTGATGAAATGTCAAAACAGTATACTCTAAAGTTACCTGAAATAATTCTCCATGTGATTATGCTACCAACTAGATATCTAGCTAGGTTCAATTTGTTTCAATTCATTTCTGAATTTAGATCTTGGTTTTTGTTCTGTTGTCCTTGTGATTAATATTTATTATTTGAATACAGTTGACACACAATGTTACATTAGTTTCAGTTGTACAACACAGTGATTCAACAATTCTATATGTTACGCCATGCTCACCACAAGTGTAGCTACCATCACCATAAAATGCTATTATAATACCATTGACTATATTCCCTATACTATACCTTTTGTTCCCACGACTTATTCATTCCATTTCTGGAAACCTGTACCTCTCACTCCCCTTCACCCATTTTGCCCATCTCCCAACCCTCCTCCCCTCTGGCAACTGTCAGTTTATTCTCTGTATTTGTAGATCTGATTCTGCTTTTTGTTATTCACTTGTTTTGTTTTTTAGATTCCACATATAAGTGAAATCATATGGTATTTTCCTTTTTCTGTCTGACTTATGTCACTTAGCATAATAGACTCTAGGTTCATCCATGTTGTTGCAAATGGCAAGATTTCATCCCTTTTTAAAATGGCTGAGTAATATTCCAGTGTGTGTGTGTACACATACCGCATCTTCTTTGCCCATTCACCTATCAGTGGACACTTAGGTTGCTTCCATATCTTGGCTACTGTAAATAATGCTGCAATAGACATAGGGGTACATATATCTTTTTGAATTTGTGTTTTTGTTTTCTTTGGGTAAATACTTAGTTATTTACTAAGTATTTACCCAAAGTATTACCACATGGTCCAGTGGAATCACTGGACCATGTGGTAATTCTACTTTTAATTTTTTGAGGAACCTCCATACTGTTTTTCCAGAGTGACTGCACCAATTTACCTTCCCACCAAGACTGCACGAGGGTTCCTTTTTCTCCATGTCCTTGACAACACTTGTTGTTTCTTGTCTTTAATATTTGCTTTTTAGTTGCATAAAACACATGATTCCAAAGTCAAAACACAAAACATCATTCAGAAGAGTCTAGGTTTCCTTTCCTATCCCATTCTTTCAGTTCTTCCTCCAATCAATAGTTAGCCATTTTTATTAGGTTTTGGTTTTTTTCCTTCCTTTGTTTCTTTCTGAAAATGTAAGTATACATATTCTCTTCTTTCTTATACAAAATTAACATACCACACATTATGTCTTCAATATCACCCTACCCCAGTACAGAGACTTCCCCATTCTATTTTACAGCTGTATAGTTATCTATTTTATGGTTTTATGATAGCTTTTTTCCACCAATGCCTTATTGGTGGTCATCTGAGTTGTTTTCAGTCTTTTGCTTTTCCAATTAGTGCTTTAAGAAATGTACTGTTTCATATTTTTCTTTTTTTTCACATGCTAAGCTGGGCAGGAAAAATGCAACATTATGGTTCACACACTCACTGTTTAAACTCTTGCTCTAAGCTGCTATGAATACATAGCTAAATTAGGAGTCACTGTATATTCAACAAGCACCTAAAAATTTTTGGGATTTTTAGACTTCACAGACAATAACTAGATTTACATTCTAAGAAACAACCATAAAGAGTGGTTTGACAATAAGGTAGTTGTTTGCATTAAGGTGATTTTTACATCCCAGCAGATCTAAGCTTAAAATGCTAAGTGTTATAAAGAGTATGAAAAGAAATTTGGTTTAATAATTTCAATAAAAATTAACAATTTATGAAAAATCTTTGTTTCAACTTTTGGCCAACTGTAAATTGTAATTATATAAGACTTATGCAACCTCCAGTTTATTTAGGGGAAAGATAGTCTTCTGGAGATGTGTCCCTGACAGCTCTAACCAGTCCTTTCTCATGTGAAAAATAATGCATGGAATGTTTGGAAGTAATCGCTGCTAGAGCCAACACTCCCAACTTAGGAAGAATATATTTTACAACATAAAAGCAAGTACTGTTAGAGTGTCATGGATGAGCAAATAGTTCCACATGCTTTAGAATAAAAGCTCCTGTGGATTTTAATTAGGCAGTATACTAACTGAGCGTATAAAATGAGAAGACTCTTTGCCTAGCTAATTTATTAATATGAACATACTTATACCAGTGGATGATATTTTTTTATTACTTATACGTATAACAGTGTTAATATGGCAGAGAAAAGTCATAATGGATACCATTCCATGTATTCCAACTTTAATTTGTCAATGTGAAAATACACTTGTTTGTATAGGTCTTAGTCTCACGATTATTTCACCATCATTGATTCCCAACCAAAAGATAGTATTTCAGACTTCAGGATGATGTCTCATATGTATCAACTATTTGAAGTCTTGGGTTTTTTCTCTAACATATTCTCTCATTTGGATTTACAAGGCACAGCATTAGTATTAAAAGTCGGAGGTGAGCTCACGAATAGTACTTGATGTCTAAAGCTTATAGTGTTTGCAGCTTCAAATATGGACATACAACCAGCTCCTAATACAAATAAAAGTATTATCACAGGAGCTGGCCCAAGGGCCAGCATGTTTAACAAAATAGCATTGGAGAAATTATAAAGGAAGGAAGGAAAAAGATTAGAGAAAACCAGAATGTTATCTTTGTGTTTCTTTAAAGATCACTTCAGGACTAACAAAGTGACAGGGCAGATAAGAGAAAGCCAGTTTGCCTGACTTACAATATGAAAATAAACCAGCGTAGCTTTTACCTTTCAATGTGGCAACCATTTTACCAGCGATATTTAAATTAAAGAGTAAGAGAGAGATATTTAAGTTAAAATTTGAAAAATTCATGGGAAGTTTACATTTTTAGTCTTGTAAATAGCTCAGCTTCATGCTGTTTGAAAACAGGCATAAAACATGTTTTAAAGGGCTTCATACTCAAAATTCAAATATCAACGTCCACAAATATAGGTCTTGAATATAATCCTGTCATTTTGGGAAGCAGAATTAAACACATCAATAAGATACAGTAAATTGTTTTAAATTAAGGCTCTTAAGTTTAACATGCCAATTTGTCACTGAAAAATTCTTTACCAATTTTAAGAATAGGAAAAATGTGA